AGACTAGGCCCGAAACGTCAGCCTTCCTGCTCCTATGATGCTGCTTGGCCTGCTGTGTTCATCCAGCTCTACACCTTGTTATCTCAGATTCTCCAGCATCTGCAGTTCCTACTATCTCTGGTTTAATTAATGTGCTTTGCTTTGATTTAGGTTTATTACATCATTGGACTTCAGCTTCAGACTTGCTTGTTGCATCTTGTCATCATTTTTCTTCAAGGTATAAATATACTGATGACCCTACTAGAACAGATCTGTTTGCTGCATATTTGATGCTTACATGGTATTTACATCACATTGGTATTTACATTTAAACTACTACTATCCCTTTCCTCAAAAAGTCCACCTTAAACCTGTTTGTCCTTGCAGGCTCCCATTATGACATTGCTCTTCAAACCCCTTGAAAGTTGTTGTTTGTGTCGCTAGACAATCATCAATAATTAGGCAAGGGAATCAGGGGTTATACAGAGTAGATGGGAATGTGGAACTCAAAACACAATCACAACAGCTGTGATCTTGTTGAATGGTCTATTAATGCTCCTATTTCATATGTATGTTTGTTTACTTGTTTGTTAACCTGCTTCATTCTATAAGCATGAGACATGTGATGGTGGATTATACAGAAGACACTATTCAGTTACAACACAGGTGATCATCTCTGAATTTTGAGCTCTTCGAATGATTGTTGAAAACCATGCTGATCATTTGCCTCCACCAAAGGCATATGTCAGACCTCATGACGTGTCTTCTCCTGAATTCTTTAACTACAGCGTTTCTATCATAGAATTATTAAAGTACAAGAAGGAGGCCATTCAGTCCATGGTGTCTGGATCAGCTCTCTGAATTAGCATCTCACCTAGTGCAATTCTCCTGTTTTCTCATTGTAATACTCTTCCTTTAAGGTAACAGTCAAATTCTTTTTGAATGCTTTGGTTGAACCTACGTCTACATAACACTTAGACAGCGCATTTCAGACCCTCACACTTGCTACCTGAAAATGTTATATTTCAAGCCACTTTTGCTTATTTTAGAATTACTTTAAATCTGCACCCTCTTGTTCTTGATCTCTTCACAAGTGGGAACATTTGCTTCATATATACTTATCCAGATCTCTAATGATTTCGATTGCTTAAATCAGATCTCCTATCAGCCTTCTCTTCTCCAAGAAGAATAGTCCTAGTTTCTTCAACCTATCTTCATAACTAAAGTTTTTCATCCTTGGAATAATTCATGTAAACCATTCAGCACTCGCTCTAATGCCTTCACATACTCTCCAAAGTGCAATGCCCAGAGCTCCATGCAGTACTCCTGCTGAAGCTGAACAAGTGTCTTATGTAAGTTCAACATCACCTCCTAGTTCTTATACTTAATGCCTCTACCAGTAAAGCCTAGATTACTGTACGCTTTATTCACTGCTCCTTCAACCTGTCCTGCCACTTTTAGTAATTTATGCACATATATACACCCAGGTCTTTCTGCTCCTGTAGACCTTCCTCACATCCACTTTCCTTCCTTTTCCCTGTAAGCCTTGATTCCCTGACTGATCAAGAATCTATCTATCTCGGCCTGAAATATATACAAGGACTTTGCCCCCACAGCTGTCTGTGTCAAGGAGTTCCAAAGACTCTTAACCCTCTGAGAGATGAAAATACTCTTCATCTCCGTCTTAAATTGGAGCTTCTTTATTCTGAAATTATGCCGTCTAGTCCTAGACTCTCCTATGAGAGGAAACTCACTCTCAGCGTTTACTCTGTCAAGCCCCTTAAGAATTCTGTATGTTTCAAAGAGATCATCTCTCATTCTTCTAAACTCCAGTGAGTAGAGCCCTAACTTGTTTAATCTTTGCTCATAAAACAATCCCTGCATACTAGGGATTATCCCAGTGAATCTTCCCTGAACTGCGTCCAATGAAATAATACCTTTCCTTAATAAGGGGACCAAAATTGCTAATGAGTACTCCAGATGTGGTCTCACCAGCATCTTGTACAGTTGTAGTTAGCTTCCCTGCTGTTATACTCTAACCCCCTTAAAATAAGGGCCAACATTCCATTAGCATTCCTGATTACCTGCTGCACCAGTGAGCTAGCTTTCTGTGTTTCATGTGCAAGTACTCTGCAGTTTTTCTCTATTTAATTAATATTCTGTTCTTTTGTTCTCCCTTCCAAAATGAACAACTTTACATTTTACCACAATACACTACATTTGCACACTTACTTAACCTATCAATATCTCTCTGTAAACTATTCATATCCCTCTCACAATCTGCCTCTCTGCTTACTTTTGTGTTGTCTGCAAATTTGTCTACAGTATACTCACTTCCTTAATAGAATCATAGAATCCCTACAGTGCAGATGGAGGCCATTCAACCATCGAGTCCAACCTTCCAAAGACCATCCCACCTACCCCCTCAGCCTATTATCTTTGTTATCTTTATAGTCCTCCTTTGCTGGACTCTGAAACTATCCCAGCCTTTGGGGCTATCACTGATTCCTTATATGCTTTTTCTTTCAACTTAATACTCTCCTTAGCTTCCTTGGTTAGCCATGGCTGGTTTATCCCTCTCTTCGAGTCTTTCCTTCTTTCTGGTTCTTGAGTGATGTCGCAGCTCAGACAACTGGGGAGTATTCCATCACAATCATGGCCTTTACCTTGTGATGTTGAGGTTTTGAGGAGCCCGGAAGTCAACCAATGATTGCAGAGCACCCTGACTGAAATCTCATCCCAGTAACATTTATGTTGAATTGAATTTCTGGTTAGTGGTGACTTTTTGTTATTGATGGTGGGAAGCTGACAGGGTGGTGTTCAAACTGCCTTGAAGATAGTCACTTTTTAGCATTTTTTATGCTGTGCAATATTCCTTCTTAGTTGCCATCCCAAATCAAGATGATATGCATCCCTTGCTGCAGAAAATAAAAGACTTCATCATCTAAAGAACTGAACAAATTAAACTGGATAACTGTGCAATGATCAGCAAACACCTTCTCATAGAGTTGTAGAGATGTACAGCATGGGAACAGATCCTTTGGTTCAACTCATCCATACCGATCAGATATCCTGAATTAATCTAGTCCCATTTGCCAGCATTTGGCTCATATTCCCTCTAAACCCTTCCTATACATGTATCCATCCAGATTCCTTTTAAATATTGTAATTGTACCAGCCTCCACCAGTTCGTCTGGCAGCTCCTTCCATGCACACACCACCCTCTGTGTGAAAAATGTGCCCCTCTTCTAAATCTTCACCCTAAACCTAAGCCCTCTGTTTTTGGACTCCCCTACCCTGAGAAAAAGACCTTAGCTATTCACCCGATCCAATCCGTTCATGATTTGTGGGTGTGGTAATTGGTGTCTAGAATCACATCTTCCCTTCTGCTAGGTTTGACTCCAGTCAACAGATGGCTTCCTCTTGATCTACGTCAACTTCATTTCAAGATTTCTTGGTGACACCTTCAGTTAAATGATACCTTAATAACAAATCTAATCACTCACACCTTGTCATTGGAATTCATAGATATTATCCACATTTGGGCTAAGACTGTAATAATCTTGCACTAATCCTGATTGAACCCAAACAAAGTTATCAGTGAGCACTTTTTAGCTGAGCAGCACTGTGTTAGCACTGTCAACAATTCCTTCCAACATGTTGATTGAAATGAGGCTGATAGGATGGTAATTATTTCAGTTGGACTTGACCCTTTTTTGTAGTTATCAAATAAAACATGGAACACTCGTTCTCTTTTTAAACTTTGTTGACATGAAGATGTGCAGTAAAGCTATCCCAATAGTTGCAGGTCTGCAGCTACAAATTCCCTGAGTGTTCTAGGAAATCTTGTGGGAGACAGACTGGTGATTTTAACTTGAGTGGCCTGAATTACCAGTGTGACACATACATTTCCTGCACTCCACTTAATTTTATGGCTTAGCTGAGTGAGATTGCAGATTAGTATCACTTTGTGGATGGTTCTGAAAAATACAAACAATAAGAACCATACGAAGTAGCAAACAAAAAAGTGAGTATAACATTTGCACTTTTTATTCTCCCCACCCCCTTAGGCTCTGTTCAGGACCACATTTCCACATCCAAGGTCTGACCGTGAGTATGTATCCTATGAGATAGGATTTGACTGTGATGTTATTGAACTCATTCCTGGGATTGACCTCTTTTCAGACCGATTTCGAGCTGATGTACGCTCAGTGGTAGGAAGCCTAGACTTCCTTCTCCATGAGCTATACAGTGCTCAGCAAAACCTGAAGGTAGGAAAATTTTCAACTACAGATTCATTTTATGTTGTAATCAAAGGACAAATACTTTGGGCACAATTATGGGTCCCTGTTGCAGGCATATGACAGGGCAGGCTTAAAAAACTGGTGCCATCTAGTGCAATGGTTTCCTGAAGCTGTTAATGGTGTCCTTTTTTTTTGTTTTCTGATTTTTCAGAATTTCCAGATATCAAACAATTAAACACCAATAAACAATTAAACAAACCTCTTTAAATGACTGCCAATAGCGTATGAAAATTACTGAGATAGGATGCAATAATTTATAAATCTGAGATAATAAGATTGCTGTACCAGTTTTTTTTCTCAGATCTTAATTTCTATTAATGTGAAATTCATCTCAGTTAAAAAACAAATTTGAAACATTTTCCATGGAAATGAAGAGCTTTTTGACTGAAACTTTTTTATTCAACAAAAAACATTTCTTTAGAAATCAAAGTTTAGTAAGAATGATCCATTCGTTACTTAGTAAGGAACTGAAGGATAGTTCAGATTGTTTAAAAAAATAGGCTCACAACATTGTAAAGCAAGTAAGCTTGAGGATTAGGAATATTTAGGTAAAAAATAGACTGTTTAACATCAAAACCAACTGTAAGAACTTTTACAAATTTATATTAAGGAGTTGACTCAGTAAACATTAATTCTGGAGGGAAAGACAAGAAGTGAACATCAGGATTGAGAAAATGTAAAAGGTATTGAACAAATATTTTATCTTACTTCACAGTAGAAGTCAAATTTATATCAGGACAAGAAAATAGTTAGAGAAACTTAAGAGACTAAAGATGACAACTTCCCAGTATCTGATGGACTACGGAATTCTAAAAGAGAGCTGCAGAGAATGTAGATTTTCCAAAATTTCCTCGATTCTGGAATGGTTACAGCAGATTGAAGATAGCAAATCTAACATCATTATTCAAAAAAGAAGGGCGAGAGAAAATTGAATGATAGGTCTGTTGTCCTGACATCAGTCATGTGTAAAATTCTGCAATTTGGTGCTAAGAAAGTTTTAACAATACACTTAGAAACATTCTATCATCAAACAAATTTAACATGGCTTTAGGAAAGGGAAATGGTGTTTGCCAAACTTATTTAGAATTTTTTGGGGTATTTAATGAGTTGAGTACATAAAGAGGAATGTAAAGTAGACAAAGTCAGTGAAGTCATGTTTAGTACAGAAAAAAAAGTTGTGGTTTTTGGAGGCTAATCATTTTGATAACAGCTACTAAGTGAATCAACTACACATGGCAGACAGAAAATAATGTAAATAATTTACCTGCTCTGATAGAGAAAAACAGAAAGACAGAACTATTTTTAAATGATGATAGGCTGGGAAGTCCTTGTTGACATATCAAGAAAGGTTAGCATGCAGGTGCAGCAAGCAATTAGGAAGGCAAATGGTATGTTGGCTTCATTGTAAGGAGCTTTAAGTTTATCATAATACTGTTATGATTTATGTTCTGTACATAATCATGGAACAGGTTACTTTAGGCAGGGCAGTGTGTAATGAAACCAGCATTATTTAATGGGCTGAGTTAGTCAGATTCTTGATCTTCAATGAAGTCAAGATGAAGTGTCAGTTATTGCAGAAACTTTAAAAAAAAAAACCCTTTTCTCTGTGCTCATTTTGGAGCATTTTCAAAAATGAATTTTCAATGAAGTGTAAACAAAATCTTCCTTTAATTTTAGGGCATTAGTAGAGTTAAGGCTGGTATTATAATGGATGACTGAGCAGCCTGAAGGGGCATAATGGCCTACTTCTGTTTCCATATCTTCTTTTGTCATCATTGGCTGTTTATCAACTCCAGGATGTTGTCTACTCAGGTTCTAAAGTTTTTGCTGTGGATCTATATGTAGCTGAACTAGCTGATTCACGATCCACAGATCTTGGAGCACATGAAGCAGGGTGTCCCACAAGACAGTGGGATCTGGAGTACAAGATCTGCTTCCTTTTCTTTACTGTCTGCCACAGCTCTGCCTCATTATTACTTTCCTTATGTACTTATTGACTGAATTAGAAAAATTCATGTAGACATCAATTGAAAAAAGGCATATACTCTATCAGGTGTAAGTCCATTGATTCATTCTGACTGTGTTCCAGTGGCATTTTATCCAGTAGTATTTTTGTTTTGGCAGAGAAATTATTTTGTTGATTGACATTTTTGCAAAACAGATTCTTTCACAGAAGGCAATAAGTCTTGTGCTGTGATGTATTTCAATAGCCTAAATAACCTGTAATTATTTTGCACAGCAATTGTGGGTAGTTAATTCGGCCACACTTTTGGGGGAGCTGACAAATGGAGCATTAATATTGTGCCCCAGGGAAGAAGGATGTAAATCAAAGTTCAATTATGTAGAAGCAGCTTAAAAGAGAAACCAGGAAGATCCCAGCTTCGAAAACAGTCTTTGCTAATTGTGGTCTGGTGTGGTTAATTTGAATGCAAGTTGATATGAACACACGATTTGAAGAGGACAATTGATTACGGTCCTCACTGCTGATTATTTTCAAGTAATTTGTTCTGCAAGTCCATGTGAATATGAAGTGAAGCCACCATGTTTTGCAAGCTTGAAAAATTTCTAACTTTTAAGTTAAGGTGATTTTTCAAGTAATGGAGTCATATAGGTATAGAGCATGGAAACAGACCCTTACGTCCAACTCGTCCATGCCGGCCAGATATCCTGTATAAATCTAGTCCCATTTGCCAGCATTTGGCCCATAACCCTCTAAACCCTTCCTATTGATATACACATCCAGATGCCTTTTAAATGTTGTAATCTTACCAGCCTCCACCACTTCCTCTGGCAGCTCATTCTATACACGCACCACCCTCTGTGTGAAAAAGATGTTCCTTAGGTCCCTTTTATATCTTTCCCCGCACCTTAAACATATACCCTCTAGTTTTGGACTCCCTCCACCCCGGGGAAAAGACCTTGTCTATTTATCCTATCCATGCCCCTCAAGATTTTATAAACCTCTGTAAGGTCATCTCTCAGCCTCTGATGCTCCAGGGAAAATAGCCCCAGCATATTCAGCCTCTCCCTATAGCTCAAACCCTCCAACCCTGGCAACATCCTTGTAAATCATTTCTGAACCCTTTCTAGTTTCACAACATCCTTCCTATACTAGGGATCAATACGCCAAAAGTGACCGAATCAATGTCCTGTACAGCTACAACATGACCTCCCAACTCCTATACTCCTATCTACCTGCAACTCCACTTTCAAGGAACTATGAACCTGCATTCCAAGGTCTCTTTGTTCAGCAACATTCTCTAGGACCTTACCATTAAGTGTATAAGTCCTGTTCTGATTTGCCTTTCCAAAATGCAACATCTCGTATTTATTTAAATTAAACTCCATCTGCCACTTCTTGGCTCATTGGCCCAGCTGATCAAGATCCCGTTAAACTCTGAGGTAACCTTCTTCACTGTCCACTACACTTCCAATTTTAGTGTCATCTGCAAACTAACTTAGCATACTTCCTACATTCACATCCAAATCATTTATATAAATAACTAAAAGCAGTGGACCCCGCGCCGATCCTTGTGGCATACCACTGGTCACAGGCCTCCAGTCTGAAAAGCAATCCTCCACCACCACCCTCTGTCTTCTACTTTTGAGCCAGTTGTGTATTCAAATAGCTAGTTCTCCCTGTATCCCATGTGATCTAACCTTGCTAACCAGTCTACCATGAGGAACCTTGGCGAATGCCTTACTGAAGTCCATATAGGTCACACCCACCACTCTGCCCTCATCAATCCTCTCCATTACTTCTTCAAAAAACTCAATTAAATTAGTGAGACACGATTTCCCATGATATACTTACAATAAATCTAAACAAACAGATTTATGATCATTTTATGAAATTTAGTTTGGCATATCTGTACCAATCTGTAGCAAAAAGAATGCAGTTACTTTTCATACATAATTTTGGCCAGTGACTACAAAAAATGTCTAGAATTTATTTGAAAACTGTTATAGAATGAACGGTTTTATATTGCTCCATGTCTGAAATCTGCTTTTGATTGTGAAACATCAAATAATCCCTCTGCAGTTTTTAGTGATTCCTTCCTTATCTCTGAAACTATCAGCATTGCATGCCCTGATCAGTTGCATAAGGTATAATATTTTAAAGACTCCATTTCATCTAAGTAAAATGTACATTTCTTTCGATATTTGGCCACTTACAGCCCTCAATAGGCCTAAGAGTGGGCAGCTTACCCGCACCCATTTGCCTTCTCTTATTGACAATAGGTTAGAGGTGGGCAAGAAGATGGTGGGTTGGCCCCCTGACATTTTGTATTCTCTGCCATTAAAAACACACCCAAGTCGTGATGAGGGTAAAATGCAGCCCAGTGGGTTGAATTGCTTGGCAAGCAACCTTTTATGGCACATTGTCTTGTACGATACAGAGCTTACAACTTTAAGAAGCTTGTTTTAATTATGTATCTTTATTTCACATGATAGGTTCTACCTTTATTCACACTGTACCAGTACTTTGTCAGTGCAATCTGTCGTGATGTATACAGGAGTGTTTGGGGAAGAATACTGAAGGTAACAAAATTACTGGGTTTGTGCTTTTTTGTCACAATTATCGACTATTAATCCAGAGACCCAGGTAATGTTCTGGGGACCTGGCAACCATGGCAGATGGTGGAATTTGAATTCAATAATAATCTGGAATTAAGAGTCTAATGATGACCATGGAACCATTGCCGATTGTCAGGAAAAACCCATCTGATTCACTAATGTCCTTTAGGGAAGGAAATCTGCCATCCTTACCTGGTCACTTACATGTGTCCCACAGTAATGTGGTTGACTTTTAACTGCCCTCTGGGCAATTAGGGATAGACAATAAATGCTAGACCAGCCAGCAATGCCCACAGCCCATGAAGAAATAAAAAAAAGACTACAGTGAAAAGTTTTTACAATGGCTGCCTTTAATGGCACCATCTTAAGTACAAATACCTAGGTCCAAACCTTGGATACAAAAGAGAAAAAAGATACAAAAGGAAAAGTAGTAGCATTACTTACAATGTCTAAAAAATAAATTAGAAGTAAGGTAGTTATAACAGAGTTAAGGAATTTACATTACAGTCTGGTAAAGAATTTCAGATAGCAGCAGCTCAGCACGTGGTCTGACCGCCCGCACCAGACCCCAGTCCAACAACTGTCCCACTCCGCTCCAGTCTCCAGTCTGCTCCTCACCGGCACTCAGCTGCCACAAGGTAAGCTGTGCTGTACTGGGACTCACTTCCGTCACGCTGCATCGGTACTCTGGTATTCCTCACACACCGCTCCAGGACTTTGGTTTCCCCTCGTGTCGCTCCAGGACTCGGGTTTTCCCCACGGATGTTTTTCTTCAAAATTTATCTTTTAATGCTTCGTCACCAGGTTGTTTAGAGATTTCAAAATCAAAACTTGATAAGATTTTGAGGTCTTTGTATTCCTCTATTGCATCAGTGATGATTAACCCTTCATTTGAATCTGCATTCATATTAGAGTTAGAAAATATACGTTCATTTCTCTTTCCCAAACATTGTGACTTAGAAATTGCTTAGATTTAGCTACACAATCAGTTACTAATATTTACATGAATTTTTTTTTTGCAAACATAAACAGATCAGGGTTTTAGCAGATTTGGGCCTGTTTGCAGAAGCTTTTGATGAATACAGTTTCTTGCTTAATGGTAAAAAGCTCCCACATGCACTTCTGGAAGGTTTCAGATCTCGAGAGACCAAGGTATGTAACAGTTTTTCATTCAGTCTTTTATGACGTGTTTAGATAATTTCTAATGATATGTTAATAACATGTATGTTCCAATCTCCCCTTCTGTAATGATGTAACTGACACAAGAGTATGTTTTCATCTTCATAGAATCCCTACGGTGTGGAAACAGGCCCTTCGGCCCAACAAGTCCACACCAACCCTCAGAGCATCCCACCCAGACCCATCTCCTTGTAACCCACCTAATCTACACATCCCTGAACACTACGGACAATTTAGCATGGTCAGTCCACCTACCCTGCACATCTTTGGACTGTAGGAGGAAACCGGAGCACCCGGAAGAAACCCAGGCAGACATGGGGAAAATGTGCAAACTCCACACAGACAGGTGCCCAAGGGTGGAATTGAACCCGGGTCCCTGGTGCTGTGAGGTAGTAGTGCTAACTACCAAGCCACCATGCCACCCCATCTTGGATGAAGCATGATACTAAACTAAATTTTAAAAGAATTATAAATTGTTGACAAACGCTAAAATTGGTTGTAAATTTGCTAAAAATGCATCCCACTCACAAATATATGTATTTTCTTCAAGGGCTGTTTAAACAGTGTGGGAGATGACTATCTTATAAGTGTGTTAACTGATTAAAATGTGCGAAGTGGAGTTAATTGGAGAGAAACCATTGCAGTTTCCTTCATGCGAGAATTAATTTGGAAAGAGTTTCATCTTGACCTGGTTGAACTCCCAGTAGTTTTTTGAGGAGAGGTCAATTAACGTTTATGTCTATGCAGAATACCATCAGATGGGATGTGGGAGAATCATCACACTACTCTGGTATCATCTTTTGTTATAGCTCCCTAGGTTGGATTTCTAAAACAAGTTGAGTCCAGATCACATCCGGGCAGTAGCACAAATTGGCTCCGTTGGCCTCTGTGCTGGTTTCCTACCACGGCCCTGACCCCAAACCAAATTTAAAGCTTGCAGCTCAGGGTCAGCAAGTGATGGGTAGTCAATTGAGACTAATTAGAATACATTAAGAAGCTTTTTAAGACCTGTTAAGGATGTTTGCTTTTCATCTTGTGACTAGGTGGTGAGGGTTCTTGTGGTAGTGTCCCTACAACTGGGCCAGGGTTTGGCCATCTGCTCCAGAGATGTGTCATAACACATATAAATAGCATATTTATTAGGAGCATGCCTCTTAAAGGCAGAATATCTGTGAGAAATAACACAACAGGCAATTTTCAAAAAGATGACTTATGTGAGGACTGTGTGATCACCTCTCTTCATGCAGCTTTTGGTTTAATAATGTTTTTCATATTTACATGTGTTGCTTATCTAGTTTTTTAAAGGTTTCACCTCCTAAAGGAGCGTATAATTTAATTCAGAGATAGTAAGAACTGCCGATGCTGGAGTCAGAGATAATACAGTGTGGAGCTGGAGGAGCACAGCGGGCCAGGCAGCATCAGGGGAGCAGGAAAGTTGACATTTCGGGTTGGGACCCTTCTTCAGAAATGGGAGCTCCAAAATAAATAGAGAGAGGAGAGCTGGGGCTGGGGAAGGTAGGTGGGATGGTGATAGGTGAGTGCAGGTAGGCAGTGGTGGGGAATTGGTCAGTGAGTTGGGAGGAACGGATAGGTGGGAGAGAAGATGGAGAGGTTATGTCAGATCAAGGAGGCGGGGATGAGAGGGAGGGTTGGTCATGGGATGAGGCCGGGGGTGGAGAGATTTTGAAACTGGTAAAGTCCACATTGAGACCATTGGGTTGTAGGTTCCCAAGGCAGAATATGAAGTGCTGCTCCTCCAATTTCTGAGTGGCATCATTGTGACACTGGAGGAGGCCCAGGATGGACATGTTGCCCAGGGAGTGGGAGGGGAGCTGAAATGGTTAGCGACTGGAAGGTGTTATTGTTTGTCGCGAACAGAGCGCAGGTCTCTGAGCCTCCGCTTGGTCTCACCAATATAGAGGAGGCCACATCGGGAGCAGCTGTTGCAGTAGACCACATTGGCAGATATGCAGGTGAACCTCTGTCTGATGTGAAATGTTTTTTTGGTTCCTTGGATGGAGGTGAAGGGGGAGGTGTGGAGGCAGGTGTAGCATTTCCTGAGGTTGCAGAGAAAGGTGCCAGGGTGGTGGGGCTAGTGGGGAGTGTGGAGCGGACGAGGGAGTCGCTGAGAGAGCGGTCCCTATGGAAAGCAGAAAGGAGTGGGGAGGGAAATATGTCCTTGGTTGTGGGGTCAGATTGCAGGTGGCCAAAGTGGCAGAGAATGATACGTGGAGGTTAGTGGGGTGTCACATGAAGACAAGGGCGATTCTGTCTTTGTTTTTGTTGCGGGGAGGGGTGTGAGGGCGGAGGTGCGGGATACTCAAGAGATGCTGTCGAAAGCATTTTTGACCACTGAACGGGGGAAGTTGCGGTCCTTGAAATAAGAGGTCATCTGGGATGTTCGGGAGTGGAACACCCCATCTTGGGAGCAGACACAGCGGAGGCGGAGGAATTGGGAGTAGGGGATTGCATTCTTACAGGAAGGTGGGTGAGAGGATGTGTAGCCTAGGTAGCTGTGGGAGTTGATGGGCTTGAAATAGATATCGGTTTCAAGGCGAGATGGAGACAGAGAGGTCCGGGAAGGAGAGAGAGACATCAGTGGTGGTCCAGGTGAACTTGAGGTTGGGCTGAAACGTGTTAGTAAAGTTGATGAACTGTTCAAGCTCCTCGTGGGAGCATTCTGTTGTTTAACATATACAAGCAATCTCTCAACGCACTCAAAGTCTTTGATAACAAGGTGTTGAGCTGGATGAACACAGCAGGCCAAGCAGCATCAGAGGAGCAGGAAGGCTGACATTTCAGGCCTAGACCCTTCTTCAGAAATGGGGGAGGGGAAGGGGGTTCTGAAATAAATAGGGAGAGAGGGGGAGGCGGATAGAAGATGGATAGAGGAGAAGATAGGTGGAGAGGAGACAAACAGGTCAAAGAGGCAGGAATGGAGCCAGTAAAGGTGAGTGTAGGTGGGGAGTTAGGGAGGAGATAGGTCAGTCCAGGGAGGACGGACAGGTCAAGGGGGCGGGATGAGGTTAGTAGGTAGGAGATGGGGGTGGGCCTTGAGGTGGAAGGAGGGGATAGGTGGGAGGAAGGACAGGTTTGGGAGGCGGGGACAATCCGCCTCCTCCTCGCTCCCTATTTATTTCAGAACCCTCTTCCCCTCCCCCATTTCTGAAGAAGGGTCTCGGCCCGAAACGTCAGCCTTTCTGCTCCTCTGATGCTGCTTGGCCTGCTGTGTTCATCCAGCTCTACACCTTGTTATCTCAGATTCTCCAGCATCTGCCGTTCCTACTATCTCTCACTCAAAGTCTTTGTCATTTTTTGTCACAAATAAGCTGTATAAAATTTGACGTAATTTTCATACGGTTCCACATCTTTGGTATCTTTTTACACTGTGTCCTATTCTTAAATTTTCTCAATTTACTAAATTAAGACAAATTCCTAATCAAATTTAATGTTAGTTCCTGATCATGGTTATATTTTAACTAGTAGTGGTCTAGTGTTTGTCATTCCCCACGCTATTCTCATCAACATTGCAATGAAATCTGAGCCTCTAACTGCAATGGTTCCATCCTCCTTAAACATCCAAACTGCACTGTAGTACTAGGCAGTGACTACATAATGCAGAAGAGGGGAGAAACAGTCTACAGTGAGCTGTGGACAAACATTAAGCGAAATCACCCACCTTAGTTGCAGGAGCATTTTCAGGTTTGGAAACCTATTCCTTGACTGTTTTGTTTTCTGGTTGCTCTTTACCTGACCACTCCACATCTGGGTTTTCTGACGACTGAAGGAGGAAACTATAACCATCGCCAAAGGGAAGATTTTGAAGGAAAGGAATCATAACATGTTTAAGAAGAGCTCGCCGACACTGTGATTGTTGGGCCTCAACACCACCAACCCTGGCATGCTACCCACATGTCACCCTTCTCCTTTCTCACTTGGCATCGTACCCAGCTGGCACCCTAATAACTTGGCACTTGATATCTTACTCATTTGGCAATGTAACCCCTCCTTACCTGGCATCCTAACCCTGGTACCCAACTTATCTGGCACATCGGCACACTACCTATCTGACCCCTACTGACCTTACATCCTATCCCTTCCCAAGCTTGTATCTATCCCAGCTGGAACATTACTTTCATGGCACCTTCCTCCTACCCCCCACACATGTATGTTTCAATAAGGTTGCCTCTCATTCTTTGATATTCCAATGAGTACAGGTGCAATCTACTCAACCTCTTGTCATTAGACAGTCCCTTCACACCTGGCTTCAGACTACTGAAGCTTCTCTCGACTGTCTCCAAAGCCGGTATAACTTAGCTTGGATAAAGGGACCAAAATTATTCACAGTATACCAGCTGTGGTCTGACTAGTGTCTTGTCAAGTTTTAGCAAAACCTCCCGACTTTTATACTCCATTCACTTTGAAGCCAACATTCTAGTTGCTTTACTTATTATCCGCTGAATTTGAATGCTAGCTTTCAAATCCCTCCCATAGCTTTCTGAAGTGTTCCTTCATTCAAATAATAGCTGACTGCTGTGAAAAGGGAACATAGTTGGCCTTCCTCTGACTATAAAAGAAAGGTCAGCATGGAAGTACTGCTCCTTATTTCTGAGGGAGCCCTGACTGAAATATTCTTTCAGAAATGTGGAGCTCGCTTCTTGCAGAAAAAAGAAGGGCTGGAGTGGCAATCTGCATGTTCTCCCTGGAAAATACGGCTCATTGAGATTTGGTTTGCTCAAAAGCATTAGGTAAGATGTAAAGGTTATGGAGGGGATGCACAGAAATTTCTCTATGGCATCAGAAACTTAAAGTGAAACTATCCCATACCCTGGATGACATGGACTATGATGAGAAGTCTGGGAATATCGGGTGAGTTGACAAGAGAGGCTCTTCTTGTCAAGACCAAAATGTTGGATATTCCAATCAAGTTCTGGATGTAAAGATGAGATTCTCATTAGTGAGCAGTGAGAGGC